AGGGTACGTGAGGAGAGAAGGTGGGGGATTCTTGAAAAAGTTCGGAGGAAGGATTCTTGGAAAGGGCTTTTTGTAATTCTGCACCTGATGCTTCAAATTAAAGTCGACATTTGTCCATACAAATTGATTGGCAGTAATTTATCTCTTCACGACTCTTCGTAATTTTTCATGAACCCCAAAGATATGCGTATTGTGTTGTAGAAATTTTAGAGGTATAAACAGTGAATATCCCCTGACTTGAAGATTGTATGTTTGCAGCAGAAACCGGAACACACTTGGAGCCAACAGCCTCTCCAGCCCGGAGCGAGAATTCATCACTGTTCAGTAATGATAATGGTAACGATGAAAGCTGGCGACCTTTACTTATAATCATCCCGCTCAGGCTTGGCCTAACAACATTCAACCAGTGTTACCATCCGGCTATTGAGGTTTTTTTATTTTTCTCAAAAAAAAAAAAGACATTTCGCGTTTTTTTGAGGCCTTTCTATGACATTTTCACGTTTTTAGGGATGAGAATATAAACATTAATTTTATTTTTTTTTTTTCTTCTAGAAACACATAATTCTCGGGCGCAGCTATTTTCAGCGTTGTCTCGTAGTGTGCCTGAAGGTAGCTCCTCAAAATTTTGATGAAAAAGTGTGTTCAACAATTTTTTCGGAGAATATATATGTATTGTTTATACTTTTTGACAGATGTAGAAATAATTTACCAGGATTCCTCGGGCTTTTGTTACTCATCTCTGATCCGCCAGTACCGCTAACGCTTTCAGGCTTATTTTCAAATGCCGCAGTGCACAGGTATCATTGGTGGTCGCCCAAATCATGCACTGTATTTTGTTGGTATTACCGATGATAAGGTAAGAGTAAAACCGCTTAGTTATTAAGCGTATAGCTCATTTTTCACAGAAAATATCGCGGCCGAATCAGTGGCAAATTCAAATTCTGAAGTAATTTACTGACATTTCGATCGAATTTGCAATCCTGAAGATATCAGGTCTTGTTGGCCAAAATGGTACTAGCTGAGTATGGAAGAAGGGATGAAAGAGACGGCATGTACAGTGCGGAGGGAGAGAGATGAAAAAGGTGGCATGTAACTCTTTTTCTCTATGCGTGCAAAAATTCAATGGGCAGGCAGCGTGCTCTGCCTTCTCTCACCTCTCATGGCCATGGAGAGGCGCACCAAGCATCTTCGCTTCATTCTTTTCTCCGTCACTGCCAGCGCTCGCTCTTCAAATTCGTGAGCGGCCACGTTTCGCATCCGTACGTCATTGTTTTGAGCACAGTGGTACTAAGAAAGCGAGGACAGTCCTTCCGCTTCGATGCTTTAAGGAAATCGATTAAGCTGGGAAATTTGTAAAAGCGACAGTCCAGGATACATTCCCCGGCTTCAAATTGTAACATATATTTATTCCCTGGCTAAGATAGACGTAGCTGTCAACTTCTGCTAAATCAATATCGCCTGTCTGCATTCCTATCATGTGCGTACCGGCATTAATGGAAGTGATTTAATAGTGATGATAATAATTATGATAATTTTGTGATGAGAATTATTTTATTATTTTATTTTTTAGGATTTTTTTATGATTTATTTAGAATTATATTTATGATAATTTAGAATTTTATTATGATAATTTTATGGGAGTTGTAATTATGAGGATTTTGTTTTTAGTTACTCTATCTCGATCCTCATTTCTGTCAGAACTTTGTCGATTTGGGCCGAACTGAAACAGGAAAAGGCGATGGTGATGATGAGGTACGGTGGCATATTTTGTTTTTGAAATGATTAACAGTGTTGTAAGGCGTCGCTGTTTGTTTTGCTGTAAAACCATTCGAAATTATTTAAAATTTATGGATTTTTAAAGCCTGAAACTGCTGCAAATAATGGCTTGAACCCTCATGTACGAATTGGTGCAAAGATGCCATCGGAACGAACGAATGGGTCGAAGATAGGCTGGTTTCTCTGTCGCCGAAGTTTTACAGGAGAACCACTAAATGGCATTAATCTTGTTTTTTACTAGTTTTTTTTTTTTTTTTTTTTGCAATCCGTGAGTTTTTTGCAGGATTATGATGAAGAGAGTGTTTTCGATGATAACACTTATCACTGCCCCTATA